GAGACTAGTAGAATTTTCCATGACAGGGAGCTACGGAGACCAATAGATTATTTGTATCCGTTGAGATAAGAAGACTAGTAGAAGCTCTCTCTGCCGTAGGTATAGGGAGACTTGCAGAATATCTCCTATTGTAGAGTGACTAGTAGATTCTCCACTTTCGCAGAGTTAGGAAACTAGTTAACTAGTTAGGACGAAAAGTGGAATCTACTGCTCTCATAGTGTTAAGGAGATTTTCAGAATTTCTCCTGCCATAGAGTTAGCGAGACTAGTATCTTTTTTTTAATATTTTATTTTTTATTCAGTTTTATCATCACAAACACATAACAATACATTGTACATCATAAATCTTCAAACTACAGCAAATTTGTTGACCTTATATTCTTCACATACAAAGCAGATAATTCTTTCACCACACACATACCAACAGACAACCCAAGTGCACACTGGTATTGAATATATCACACATATGATACTAACCACACATACAGCTTATGTGTGTACATACACACTTGTATATGAGCCAAATGTCACACATACAACACAAACCACCACTAGTACTGATTAAAACAATAATATATGTACTTAGTATGAGACCATGCATCCTCTGAACAGTATTGGGTTATTAATAAAACATATATATAGATCTATAGGAGAATAGTGAATGTACATGTATATGTAAAATGTATATCTTACATACCCATTGAGTCAAAAATGTATCACCTTGCATTCATACTTCAGCCATAACCAGAAGACATTCATACCTTTTACATGTATACTTACTTACAGAAATACTTTACAAACATTTTCATACAACTGTGCTGTGACTTATGAGAGAGATAGGGAGAGGGAGAGAAAGAGAAGGTGGGGGGGTGGGTGGGGTGGGGTGGGGAGATTAGCGAGAGGGAGGGGTGAAGGATAAAGATAGGAGGGATGGATAACTGTTAATATTATATGAAGATAAACATAGGATTAACTGGATTCGGCTAACTATTCAAAGCAGGGGAAACAAGTAAAGAATAATTTATAATGCAATAAGTTTTTCCCATTTTTCCAATATTTATCAAACTTTTCCTTGGAGTTATCTCCCTTGCTTATTGCAATAACTCTTTGCACATTGTAATAATCTTTGATTGTATTTACTAAGGCATTAATATTAAGGGAGTTATGAAAACAACGTATTTTATATATATAATGCTTAATAAGAATTAGTATTTCATTATCAATTTTATTATTCAATTTTTGTGTTAAGAAACCAAATAAGCAGGATTCTTTATTGAAGTTAAATGGGATAATAAGTGCATCTAATGGAACTTCCAAGCTACTAAGAAGATTTTGAACGTCATTGCATTCCCATAAAATATGAGGTATAGTTTCAATCTCAGAGTTGCAAAGAATACATAACGGCGATATAGCTTATCGAGTTTTAAAAACAAAAGAATTAGTTGTAAGAATGTGATGATTAATTCTAAACTGGAACTATTGGAACTTTGTATTTGTTGTTATCAGAAAGGGTAACTTAAAATTTGGTGCCATTTAGAATCATCAAAATCAAAGACTTCATTCCATTTTTTCTGACCTGAAAGAATAACCTTGCTCTTTATTAAAATGCTATAGAAATATTTTGAACCTTTGAGCTGTTTAAAGAAATGTTCCAAGTTCAAGGGGATAAAAGGATATTCTAATTTTATTTTAGGAAACTCTGGCTCAGGGTTAAAATGCTTCACAGCCTTTAGAACAATATGTTATTGAAGGAAATTAGTTTGTATATGGTATGTATGAGTGAATTCCTGAAAAGTATAGAATGTTCCAGAATTAATATCTTTTATTAGATCATTCACAACAACGACGTCCTTTCTAAACCAGTCTTTAATAAAAATTGATTTCTTGTCAACAGTTATTTGATTGTTAAACCATATAGGGGTTTTCAGGAAAACTTCATTTTTGTCTGTTCTTAAGTTATAAGCATAGTGTAGATTTTTATATGCTTTAAAAACATCAGACCAGCACATATTTTTACATTTATTTTGACAGCGTTGTATGTAATCAGTACCACAATTGGCCATAAGGTCTAAGTTTAAATATGTTTTTAAAATTACTTGCTACATCGAAGTTGATTGAAAAAGTCTCCTGACCCACCCCAGCTTCAGAGAATCTATAAAGGTTCTAACGTTAACCATTTTTAAACCACCATCAATGTAATCCTGGGTAACAACATCTCTTCTTACTTTATCTGTTTTACTGTTCCAAAGAAATTCATATAGCAGTGAGTTTGATTTAGAGAAAAACTTGTCATCAGGGTTTGGCAGTGAGATAAATAGATGGTTAAATTGTGAAACTAAAAGTGATTTAATTACATTTATTTTATCAGTTGGGGTTAATGATAGTCTTTTCCAGGAATTAATTAGTGATTTAAGTTTTATAAGTTTTTTGTCAAAGTTAAGTTTAGGCATCCGATGTAGGTTAGCATAAAATTCAATTCCAAGAAGAGTGAAGTGATCTCTAACCCATTGTAAATTAAGTTCAGGATGAAATTGGTCTGTGCTGAATTTTTTGCTGCCAACCCACACCACTTGAGTTTTCGAGATATTATTTTTCAATCCCGATATATTTGCATAAAAGTTAAGCTCTGTAATCGATTCCCTCAGTGACCTTTCTGACCCATCAAGTGCCAGTGAAGTGTCATCTGCATACTGTGACAGAAGTATAGGACAACCATCAACATCAATACCCTTAATTTTCTCATTATTTCTTAGTTTAATTGCCAATATTTCTGCACACAAAATAAAGATATAAGGGGCGATTGGGTCCTCTTGTCGACAGCCCCTTTTTATTTAAAAAAAAGAAGACAGCTTCCCACCCTGATTAATTGTAGCACTAGCTTTGTTATGTAATGTTTTGACCCATAGCGAGACTAGTATTATCTAAGTAAGGAGATTTTCAGAATTTCCCCTACCATAGAGTTCGAGAGACTAGATTCCTCCCTACTGAAGGGTTAGGTAGACATTTAAAATCTTTCCTATCGAAGCCTTTCAAAGACAAATTACAATCAACGGTATCATAGAGTTAGAGAGACTAGTAGAATAGTCCACACTGTAGAGTTAGGGGTATCATCATCATCAAACTTTATTTCCCCTTGCAGAATATTTTCTATTGTAGAGCTAAGGACACTGGAAGAATATACACTACAGTAGAGTTAGCAAACTAGTAGAATTTGTAGAGCTAGGGACACTGGAAGAATATTCACTACAGTAGAGTTAGCAAACTAGTAGAATTTGTAGAGCTAGGGACACTGGAAAAATATTCACTACAGTAGAGTTAGCAAACTAGTAGAATTTGTAGAGCTAGGGACACTGGAAGAATATTCACTACAGTAGAGTTAGCAAACTAGTAGAATTTGTAGAGCTAGGGACAATGGAAGAATATTCACTACAGTAGAGTTAGCAAACTAGTAGAATTTGTAGAGCTAGGGACACTGGAAGAATATTCGCTACAGTAGAGTTAGCAAACTAGTAGGATTTGTAGAGCTAGGGACAATGGTAGAATATTCGCTACAGTAGAGTTAGCAAACTAGTAGGATTTTCACTACCGTGAACATATTTGGAGAATCTTTCATACCGTAGCCTTAGGAAGACTAAATCGCTATCGTAGCCTTTTTCAGCAAACAGAATCTTCATTCCCGTAGGGTTAGGGAGATCAGTAGTCTATCTTCCTGGAGAGACTAGTAGAATCTTCACTTTCATAGAGTTGGGAAACCTGTTAGAACGAATAGAATCTGCTCTCCTAATCTATAATGCTGGGAGGGACCAATAGTGGCGACTGTGCAGCTCTTGTGGTCACGTCGATTTCAAAAAGCGAAACAGCAACATTTTGAAGTATTAATGTAATTCATCATTGAGTATTTAACTAATTAAAATGACGAAAGTTTTGATCTCATAAACCGGAAAGATCGTGGTTTATCTTCATTGGCTAGTTTTCAACAATACTTTTATTTCTATATGAATGCTTGAATTAGATCAATCTTTTTTTGTTAACTACCAGTGGTTGTGTCAAAATAAACGAACTGAAGAACCAATCTTACAAAAACGTTTGTATAGTCTAAGGGAGATAATCCAAAATCTTTATTTACATTCGGGTTCAATAACGCGTATGTAAACAAGTAACGCTTCACCTCGATATAAATACCCTGTTAATTGCACCAATCATCTCTAGGACTAATCACTGCTGTATATCAGGTCGCATTGGTGATGTGTCAAAATCCATTTGTGTAATCACCTGGGTTAGGTAATTTGGAGTCCTTTAGAAACCCATTTTGAGTTGGTAGTTAAGCTTTAGTCTTTGAAAGCATTTTACATGATGTAATATTCTATGTTCACATTATGTACTACAGCAGTGAGCTTGGTCCCTCTTCCTCTCCATGTTGTGGATGTCTGACGTCTGAAGAGCCTCGGTATTTATTACACTACATTCCAACTTGTATACGGGAGGTTTAAGTGAGGGAATACTATATTCCATTTGATTTTCCTTTGACTGTCTATTTTTATTGCATTTTTAGTCCCGACTAGACTCCTAGATTTTGTATTCAATATTCTGCATCTTGTGCGAAGAGTTATGCCCCTTATGCTATGTCTGTGTGGACAACTCTTCCTTCATTTGGACTATTTCTATGGAATTATGCCCCTTTGTTTATAACTACTCGAAGGCATTTACATGTTGCCACGGGAATGAAAATGCGTTCTCAGATTTGTCTAGATGTTTCAGCCGATCAAATTTGAAAATATTAACTTTCCTGTCTAAGAGGCCATTTTGTCTAAAGCAGGAGTGGACATCATTATAGAGAATGCCAATGATTAGGTGTAGATTTCCATTAAGATTTGCAATATATGACAACCACTAACGACCATTTGTCATAGTAAATAAACGCCTGTGGAGGCACTGTTTATGACAATTCTAATGAGTTAAGCTACACATGTTTTCTGATGAAGGAAAAACAATCAATAGAGTAATATTTCAACAATTTATTTAGTTGTTCCCTCACATACACTTGACTTCTACAGTGTAAACTGGTTTTCTAATTCAAACCTTAATACAGAATTACATAACAATAAACTGTCAATGTTTCGAGATTGTTTCTGTGAATAAGATGCGAGTGCTGATTTCTGATGATGGATCATCAATTACAACTGTTATCAGGCAAGATCAATGCCAGATAAGGAAACCAATTTTTTCCCTTAAATTGCACACACCATTCTGTAGAATATCTGTGTATATCACTACAATGTACATGACAATTTCTTTTATACAACACAAAAGCATTTACACTTGCAGGAGAAAATGGCAGAAATCCATTAAAAAATTCTTACAAGTCATGGGCAATGATAAAAATGAAATCAAACAAATAACAACAATAAAAATTACATTAAAAGGATTCACAATCATATTCCATTTAATCCAAGGTAAAAAAAAATATCTCATTCATCTCTAATCAATACAAAGCAAATACATTTATGCAAATATAAATAATCATAACGGCTTCTTACTATTGGGGATTTTTGCCCGAGTGTTTATAAATAGTGCTCTTTTCCGTTAAAATTTTTATAAACACGAGACAAATGTGTATATAAAAATCGAGAAGAAAAAACACATTTGCAATAATTAAAGGGCGAAATCTGAGCCGAGCTTGACAAAAATAAGTTCAAATATCTCGAAAAATATCCTTAAGCTCTTTGTGTATGGACACATATTTGAAGGATGAAAGATGCCGCCATGGACTCCATCTCTTCAATTGACAAAACTGCGATGGTGTTTCAGTACTATGCAGTTTCGAGTGGAAAGGATCAAACTTGTTCCATATATATGGACCTTTAGAATCAAACTGGGTCAGACTAGCCTTTTAACTACTGTGGCCTTCCCCTGGGTTGTTCTCATCATAAAAAGGATCACACACACGCATACATGCAAAAAACCCACCCTCACACAGAGCATACTCTGGATTTTAGCAACATCTACATATATATTTTAGGGCTAGTTGCTCTCTGAATAATCTCTGGTTAATTTTACATATCTCTTGCATTCATACTTAATTCTTTTAACAGCGTTTTATTTTTTCAAAACTAATTTTTTGGGCACTTCCCAGCTGAATTCTGGACGACCAAAATGTCCATAGCAAGCAGTTTTCTGGTAGATAGGTGCTCGAAGATTTAGTTCCTTTACAATGTGTCCAGGTCGCAGGTCAAAATTGTCATGCACAACTTGGAGTAGCTGGGCTTCCGACAGTGCAGATGTCCCATAACTGAATACAGTGATGGATAAAGGCTTTGCAATTCCTATGGCGTAGGATACCTACACATCAAAATAACATTTTGCTGTTAATACAAGTACAAACTAGAAAATTATAAGATGTATGATCTACCTCAACCAAAAACATATAGGTCACGGTCATATCACATAGATATAATAATCCCCTGGACAAAATAAAAAGATGATTTTCCGGAGGATATTATCATATTATAAATGGGCAGTGAAGTAAAACTTCAGCTGCACAATGTTCAATTGGTTAGTTTACATGCACAGATAATATGGAGAGGAAAACACTTATGATCCTCTCCACTTACATATTACTGGCATATATTGTGTGATAAATTTCAAGTTCCCTAACAAAAATGTTTGAATGTTAACTGAAAGCTTTAATATAACAATTATCAAGGGTTTACCGAGTGTTTTTTTGCGACAATATCTGGAAAAAATCACTTGTGTAGTCAGAGTATTGCTATCACAGCTGATGCCCTTTGAGAAATTATCTCTGTTGATCCAGGAAATTATAAACAGGTCATGGATTGTCAGCTTTATCACACATCTAATCTATACTTTGTGATTTGATATTGAAATGGCCCTTCTGATGAATGGTTAAATACAACTATTTTCAATGTCATCACCTTCCCCGAAAGACCTTTGAGTGACTTGAAGCCATCATCTTCCCATAATGACATTTTAGTGACTTTTGAATTGTCATCACCTTCCCGAAATGAGTGGCTGTTACAGAATCATGATCTCCCAAAATGAGATTTGAGCTAGTTACCCATGTCACCATCTTCCCACAGTGAGATTTGAGTTGACTCACCTGAACTAAGACTCTCTTACAGAGACCTGCCTTGACCAGGGACTTGGCTACCCAGCGACTGGCATATGCTGCTGACCGGTCCACCTTTGAGAAGTCCTTTCCAGAGAAGGCACCACCTCCATGGGCTCCCCAGCCACCATAAGTATCCACAATAATCTTCCTCCCCGTCAGACCAGCATCTCCCTAAATGTGGTATAGCCATTAGAATTTTACACTCAACAAGACAGTAGTTGGCAAGATTCATTATCTACATAGGAGAAGGCCACATTTAGATACAATGGTTATTATAACTCGGGAGTATCCTTCTCATCAAAAATATCAACACTTCCCTGTCTAGACCATGTATGATAAAGTCACAAGATTTGATGTATGTTAATATTAAACAATTTTTTTTTTTCAAAGTATTATATAATGTTTATGACGCAATAAATTTTTCTATATAAAACAACAGTTGACTTTTAGAAGTGAATTACCTGTGGTCCACCGATGATGAACTTTCCAGAAGGCTGAATATGGAACACTGTTTTGTCGTCTCTGTATTTCTCGGGAATCACTACATTCACAACCTTTTCTAGAAGTTGTTTTCTCATATCTTCCAGGGCGATGACTTCGTCATGTTGAAGGGAGATAACAACAGTGTGTACTCGAATAGGTACACAGGCTCCTTTGACATATTTGTATTCCACAGTCACCTGATGGATAAAATGTAAGAATATTGATGGGAAATCTTTTTAAAAAATAGCTGAAAACATCAAACCAATAGTTACCTAACAATCAGCATCATCTTGTTTTGATGTACCTTCTAATCAAGGTATATCAGTGTATTGTTTCATCCTACTATATTTGTAAACATAAAACTAATTCTATTGTAAATTTCCACTGCCTAGTATCTCAATTTATATATGTATATATATCTGTTAGAGATGAATACATGAATCAATACAAGGTTCTCTCTTACTTTTTGATCTTTGTACTATATTTGTTTTTTTAAATAATTCAAGATTTAATTTGGAAACTACAGTTACCAAAAAATTTGCATGGTGATATTCTGCAATGCTAGTAAGCTAGAAATAGGACATATCCAAAATGTTCTCAAACCATATCATTACATCAACCTTTTATTTATCTTTCTACTGTAGTGATAGATTTGTAAACACATGTATTGGAAGGGATATGGTTAAACCCAGACTTATCACTTCATATAAGCCCAGTACTAGATAGTATCCAACATTTTCATCATCATTAAGAAAGTCCAAATACCTGCGTCTTGGAATCTGGTCTTGCCCATGAAAATGTTCCATCCCTTCTGAGTTGGGCAATTTTAGCATTAAGCTGATGTGACAACACAACAGTGAGTGGCATACACTCGTCAGTTTCATCTGTAGCATATCCAAACATAAGACCCTGCGAAACAAAAAACGCAACTTTACAATGGAGAGCACACTTAACATTCAATTCTTTAAAATTTATAGCTGTACAGACACATAGATAATGTGGTTACTACATGGTGGAAATTGTTCAGAAGGGAAAAATTACCTGGTCACCAGCTCCAATATCATCATCGTCTCTGTTCTCATGGACACCCTGTGCAATATCTGGGCTCTGCTGCTCCAAAGCCACAAGGACATTACAAGTCTTAAAGTCAAAACCTGAAATCCAATCATATGACAATGTAAGATTCTTGGTCATCATTAAAAGTATCCTACAATCATCTGTACAAGACATATTTCAAGTAAATAGTGCTGTCCAAATTTGTATCCTCAATTCAAAATGCCTTGTCACAATTCAGTTATTTATGATGAACATGTAAATTAGCCGGACAATTTTCTATCACCCGAGTCTAAATTGAGACCTATTCCTCTATTTCTTAATTGCTACCTTGACTGATTTCTGAATATTCTAATTATTACTCTGAACAACTGTTCAAGCAATCAGCCCTGTTCTATAGCACTTATAACAAATAGTTACTTCAGCTCTTATTTTGTGACAAGACAGATGGTAAATTACCTTTTGACGAGTCATCATATCCTATTTGTTTGATTGTATCTCGGACAACCTTCTGATAGTCAACATTTGCATTTGAAGTGATTTCTCCAGCCAACAAGATCATGCCAGTCTTGGCCACAGATTCGCAGGCTACTTTTGCATTTGGATCTTGTTTCAGGTGAGCGTCTAACACAGCATCACTTACTTGATCACAGATCTTGTCTGAAAAAATAAAGAGGATAACTGAACATCTACAACCAATATCAATGTTTTCTTTGTAGAAATTATTAATAGGTAGCTCAGTAAAGGCAAAAAATCATGATGAATGAACTGTTGTATAGCGTAATCATGTATATTGTTGCCATATGAACCTTATTCAGAACATTGTGGTCCTGATCATGGTCAATATAAAAATCACATCTTTGGATATTGAAAGGCCTTGGTTAAATATATAGTGAAATTCTACCTAGATGCACAAATTTTGCTAGGTAGTAAGAGCATCAATCCCTCTAAAAATTGTCATCAAATTTGGAAAGTAATATCAGTAATGTATATTTATATCAAATGACAAAACATCACAACTCAATAAAAACCTCAGCTTTAATTACTTCATTCATCATGCATGGGTGCATTTGTTCATTCACCCAGCAAAAGACAAGCCAACATTTAAACTCCACTGGCATGCCAAAAGTTATCATACTTGTATATCAAATAGACTCTATTAAAAACATTCTTCCACTTCTAATGCAGAAATCATTAAAAGCTTCATACATAATGCTGACTGGGAAAATAAGGGGTGCACCTGGGAAATATAGGCAAATTTCTGATTGAAAATGGAAACTTGTTTTGGATTCTGAAAACGAAACGCATTGCAAAATCCCACAATTTAGAAAATTAAATGCTTAACCTCATGCCTCTCTATTTGGTTCTTGGTCGACAATTAAATTTCTTAATTATAAAAGTCATCTGCTAAAGGCATCAAACTAGGCTTTTAGGTTGAAGTTAACACATACAGCTGACCTGTTTAACCACTTTTATTACAAGACACATGAATAAAAACACTATTTTGACATCATTTTATGTCACATCTTGATTTTCTCCATAGTAGAGCTTCAAGCTTCAAGGATTACAGTGAACAATAATAACAGATAAAGAAACACCTTTTGATGATAACAACACCTCAACAACCAGTTTATACATCCTAATGGTTAACGTATGGTTGTTCATTTTTGAGGAAAGTCTTGACCACAAATTTTGATTTCATCAAATTCCAAATTTATACGTTTAACAGATTTGATTGCTTTAACTCAACATTAGCATGATAAACTGTATCATTTATACCTATATATCCCTGATAATCTCTCAGACATCATCGGGACCAGCCGATCTACAATGTTTTACAGGGTGTACCTAATTTTGTCAAGATAGTATTTGATTTTTGATAAAAGCATTCAGTTTCTATGACATTAAGTTGAAGAAAATTGGTGTAAACCTCAGCCATGAAAGAAACCATTAAGAACATTAATGTGGAACAAAAACAGCTTAGTCACAAAATTGGCGTACAATTTCAAAAGAAGGAAAAATGAAATTGACGAAATCTGAACATTTCAATAAAATAAATGCAATATTAAAAATGTCAATATGGAGCCCCCGTCAAAGCAACATGGCCAAATTATGTAATAACGTCTACTTGGTTAAAATCAAAATTAACGGTGATGTTTTATGAAAATACACAGAAATTTCTCAAAACAGAGATCAAAAAAGCTGTAATTGATATACTGCAACCTTCTTTGTCGAAATTCAGTTTTTACTTGTTAAATGCAACCAATTTTCAAAGAATTTTCCATTCATACTTGTTTCAACTAGTCAGCCAAGCCGACCACCCTGGTCACTCCCGACACGGCTCAGGGAATCCAGCATAACAAATGATCATGACAGTTGCGTTTCTACAAATGACCCGATATCGATCTAGTATGAACGCTTAATAATGCTTAATAATTTGAGTTAGACAAAGAGGAAAGCTCCTTGTTGTTAATAAGGATATCATATACATTCAACTGAATAGATTTGTAGATCGGTGACGCAATCAATCCTATATAAAAACATGTAAACATATCCAAACACGTGCTGTGGGTGCGAGAGCGTTGAGCACAACAGAAATGGGAATCGAAAAACAATTAAATAAAGAAATACCTGGGTGTCCCTCTCCCACAGATTCTGATGTAAAAAGGAATGTGCCAATATCGTCCTGGCTGCATTCTTCAGCGTAATGGTGGTTATATTCTTGATAATGGCTGCCATTGAGGCCGTTCGTTGTTGTAGTTGACATGTCTGGTCCCCTACTCTGCTTGTTACCTTGTGGAAAAGAGGCAGATTTCATAGAGCCATCGCCTTTTATCTACTTTTTCAGAGCACATGACACCAAGCTCGGATTTTCATTGGATTCTATAATCTGCACCTCCACGTCTGGAGAGTTCCGTATGCGTAGACTATTGACTTCCGGAAGGGAAATTCACATTTTAGTGTAAATTTTGGGTTAAAATGTATGAACGTTTTATTGTTTATATTTATAAACAAACAAATTGACGTATTCATTAGTTACTTTGTTTATAAAAAGATGATATGGTCAGAATCACAGACCGAACAACCACTGTATGCCGAACCTTCAGACAGGCCTACAACAGCAGACGACTATTTTTCTTAGAAACGATTTGATAGCCAATAACAAAAAACAGACACGTCATTTCATCGGAGGTGACACTAACGAGAACTAATTCGATATGGCTTACGGGATATTAATTATTGGCATGTCAGCATTTGGATGTTTGATTTATTTCCGAACAGGTTAGACAAACGATTGTGTTTCTTCCACCTGTCAATACATGTGACCCTAAGTCAAGGAGTTGTCTTTCTTGAGACCATTGGTAACTCCTATAATTGTAATATAGATGATTTTACTTTCATGGCAGTGGTAAAATATAAAAAAAATTCGGCCAAAACACAACAAAATAAATATCGCTTAGTAGAGTGTACTACAAAAACGCCCTATCATTCTTACAATACATAATCAGAGATACACTGTAGAAGTACAAATGTAGAAGTTCAGTGTACAAGCCACCTTACTGGCATCAGTGAGTGGGAATTTCCCTTTAGTTGAACTGTAGAGTATCCAGTTAGAGTGCAAAGAGTCCCTAGTCTGAACCTAGCTCGGGGCATAATGTTTTTCATGACTACAATGTACTTCCTATTACATTTGGTGCCACTGACCACTCTAAGAGTAGAAGTTACATGTTTTTGTATATAAGACTGAGATGCTTCCTTGGAAATATTGAACATGGGTGGTTGCCTTTGGGGTTGAAGATTTTGTGAAGGAGGGAGTAGTGTAGAAGTTCACTGTAGAGGTCACCTTACTAGCATCAGCTAGTGGGAATTTCCTGTTTAGTCGAGTGGTGGAGTGTCTTGCTAGAGATTGAAGGGTTGCTAGTTTGAACTCCAGCAATCGTAGGTGTTTTTCATTACTCCTCTCTGTTACACAATATTCATTATCAGCTCTTGAATCTTTCATTGTCTATATATGAACTCAAAATAGAGGAATGTACTAGTCATTTCTAATGATATTCTCACTTGATTTTAGCTTTGGGAGAACTTTGACATGAGAGCTATGCTGATGAAGCATACTAAACACAAGTAAAAATGTGTATTTTATTGTTCCAGGTGTCTGGGAACTGGAATTTTAGTGATTGATATTTGCCATGCTTTTTGTTTCAGATCCTGCTACATTATTTAAGACCGTGATTAAAAGTCTCATAGCTTTAGGAATTGTGACTTTCTTAATCCAATGTCTTTGGTCAAGAATGTCAATATGGTTCAAGAGATGGATGACGTCACCAACTGAGAGTAAGTGTCCTTTTAAATGGATTGTTATTAATGGAACAGATCAGAACAAACAAATGTTCAAATCAGAATGAAGACAACACTTTCATAGTGAGAAATGGTGATTACTTAATTTATCAGTTCTCCATTACCGGTACTTGGTTACTAACTGAAAAAGACTGATGACAATTCTTGAAATACAAATCTAAAATCATAACAATATACATATTTGAAATGGATTACAGCTAGTTTGTCTTATATCTATACTTCTTTACAGATGAAAATGAGGAAGATAAACTTTCAAAGCTAAAAGTTCTAAAGGATGATGCTAGATCCCAAATACAACAGGATCATTTGCAGAAGGTAAATATTTGTGTTTAGAGATCTTTTTTGTGCTTCTTTGTGACAAAGATATTAGTTTTTAGAGATCATTCTGAGTGCATTGTTATATTTAAAAGATCTCATTTTGTGAGATAAACAAGTTGAAATCCCAACTAAAATTAGTAGTAAAGCTTTATATTTTATTGATGATTGTGTCTGTCCATTTTCACCTGTCTATAGACAGCTAATCAGACCGAAACTCTGCCATGGACCAGATGTGATGTCATAATTAAGAGAAACACAGCCAAGAGGTCTCTCTGTATTTATGGGGAATTTCGCTCTTATTCATTTCATGCTTACAGTTTCAATCCATCACAAACTTGACCAAGTTTTTTTAGAGAAAAGTATCCTACCATCCATCGGTATAATTTTTAGCTTAATTTACTATGTTTCTTTAGATTAAAATGACAACTATGTGCCTAGCATCTTGATGGGGATCACTGGGGAGTACAATCTGATACCTACATTCATTGATGTGAAGGTACTATGTATTTGTCAAATGACTTGTGAGATTACTTTAAAATTTTCATAGTTATGGCCACAAAAATTTCAAACGAATACAATTTTCCTGGTTGGATGCCCTTTCAGTACTTAATTATTTACCTGCAATACCTATATCATTGTCACATGTTCACATTCCTGTCTTTTTTAGTTTTTATCACTGTTCTTAATTAATATGCAACCCCTGCTAGTCCAAGTAACTGTAATTGCAGTAGGCCAATTAATTTCTTCACTCATCCATTAGGAAGACCACATTGTCAGCAGCCATTCCACACCTTTCAGAAACAGAAGTAAACAGTTGTTTTTAACAATATTAAGAATGTCTTCAGATCATGACAAATTCTTTTACCATATTTTCAGAAATATAAACTGCACTGGAGAATAACCTGCAGGGCTGGATTTTAGTGATTTTTTTTTATTTGTTCCACACATAAGTCGCATGTCCAATCACCAAGGGAAAAAGCCACAGTTTATAACCCGGAAAATATAGTAGATTCAGAGACAATGCCACATTTCTGTGCTTTGTTGGTTAAACAATTACTAGAACTGTTTTTATGAAATGTGGATTTAATATTTTACAAAGAAATTTCAATTTGAAACATGAAAAATGAAAGTGATCTTCAATAATATCATGGGCAAGTTATCAAAACTTTTTTAGGTAACTTCTGCTGAAGAACTGGTATGGCTTGTTATAGTAATGAATATCATTCAATACAAATTCAATATGGCTGCCATTTCAAATTTCAGATATTGAATTAAGTGTTTGCTTAAAATTTTATTTGATCTTTTATACGGTTTTTAATGCACTATGGGTATAAACTGTAAACAAATTATCTAGTAATTGTCAATAAAACTTGTGTCATATATTTTTTAATATTGTTTTCGGGTGGTCAATAGATAAGTGTAGTGATGATTTCACTGTCACATTCATCAGACAAATCCTGTGTAGTTGTAATTAGTGTATCAATTGTAGTAATCAATGACAAAGCATCAGTCTTTAAAAAGAATTTCAATTCTGTTTTCAGTAAGTGACAGTTTTAATCTTATCAGGCTGACACGTGGCTAAATGTTTCTGACCAAGTTATCTTATCTCTGGAAATGATTTCCAAGTTTATATATGACCTTCACATTTCATAGAGGAATGACCTCTTCACAGCTGTTTATGTTATCCTTAAGACAACACTGCTTTTAAAGTTTATTTGAAAGTGATTTTTGTCAGAATTACCTTTATAAAACATAGATACCATGACACATTACAGTTACTATTTTTAGCCCACAATAGTTTTCCAGGCTTTTGATCTGTCATTACAGTATGTTTTTCAGTTTTGATACATTTTTTCAGGATGTTAATTGTTTACTATCAGAGAGGATTATGGGTTTGTGGTCTCATACATTCAACTGTTTATCAGTAGCCTTCACCCACAACTGCCAAATATGGCACATGTCGACCTTTCCAACCAGTGCAAAGAGTCCATTGATTTGGTGTTTTTTAATGGATTCCTTTGACTGGCCCTGTCTTCCTGTACTTTTCTGGCCTGTTGTTTTTCAAATGTATGATGTGTTTGACTCTCATTAGTATTGTGGTTCTATCATTGTTCACCTTTTTCTCATTTGGAAATGTGACTCATATAATTTCATTGACCAAGATTACTTGGTGGCTTTGGTTGATGAAGAGGAGACATTTCCAATGTATACCTTGTCTTCTTTTACTTGTATTGTGTCAGTGTTCTCCTTGTAAGACTTTATTTTGTTCATATTTTGCTTTAGTTGCATTGAATTGGAGTTTGAGAAGTATTTTTCATCACATAATGTGTAGGATGCTCAGTAAATCTACCTGATACAAATGCTATCATTGCTTACAACATATCTATATCAGTGTGTTATTATTACACTACATATCTCTCTACCTGGGTACTTATCATGCCAGGAGAGATTAGTTACCGATAATTTCACTTTATCAATGTTTGTAGGATTTAAGTACACAAGTTCAAAGTACTACTTTTAAAATACATGTAGCCCCCCTGCCCTTTCATGGGGGTGATGTATAAACCCAGTAAACCGGGCAATGTAAGAAAAGAGGAGTTATACAGGCCTTGGTGTCTCTTGATTTAAAAATCATTGTCAAGGTTCATACAAATGATGAGACATGTAAGATAACATATTTTTTACAGCCTAAAGGATTGCAACAGTAAATAGCTGATTGAATATCTGTACTATCCTGTGTTACTCAAGTAGAAACATCCTGGATATTTACGTATACAAATGATAAAGTGACAGTCAACACATCCCGTTATTCTAACAGGATGTTCTATACCACTGGGATTGATATGTGACTTGCAAATATAATTATTGGGTGTGTATGAATGCTTTTTCATTCACAAATTTTTAAAGAAGTTATCCACAGTTACTAACTAGTAATTAAAATCATTTTTATTTAGTGGAAGACGTTTCTGAACTTCTACCTTGAAAACTTAAAAGCTTGCACAGAGTCTATAAAGAAAAAAGATTATTTAGAAAGTCATTCCATGTGAGGATAATACATCATTTGTTTACATTTGTTCATGAAACAAAAATGTAAAACATCAAATTCTTGGCATACAAGTGCTCAATCTCTGAGCCGAATCTATATCTCATTAAAATTCTTTATCACTGAATGAAATTTTCTTTTCATGTATTACTTTCATTTCACATTTATAGAAAATTATTTTTACATCAAAAAGCATTTTTTAAATGTAGTTATAACATTCCTTGCTTCAAGCATTGTATAATTGCACATATATATGTATTAATTATCTGAAAACCAGTTTAGATTTAACAATGGCATGCATGAGCTGGTCAATCCATATCTTCAGTATGTCTCTTGGGAACTATTAGGTGTTGATATACTGGTTGTATGTACTGACTACACATGTATATACTTCATTGTTATGTCATTGAGAAAGATACTTTACCCTTATGCTCTGGAAATCATGTGACAGGCCTGTTGTATGACCCTGGCTGTTTACAGGCAAACAAAGCAAACCTTCAGTCACATGGTATTTTCCACAAACCCATTGAAAATTTATATGATATTCCTTTGAATATTTTTCCTTGTAATTAATAGTTACATATCAGAGTGAATAACTATGATTAAGTACTATCATTATATTCACTGGAACATGTTTTTTTGTGGGATTTTGAATTTTTGTTGAAGAAATGTTTGATTTAGTTTTTGTCATTGAGTGCTGAGAAAGATCAATATGAAAGTAAGATAAAAACTCTTCCATAATGATAGATGATAAAGAACATTTTACCTAAGTATATTACTTTGTGAAGATATCAGAGAAAAGTTTTTTATCTTATTTTTATGAACTTATTTGTGATTTGTTTTGTATAAATGTTTCAAATTGTTAGAAAAACTGTTTTTACAGTTTGCATTAGAAGATAATGTTATGTTGCTAGATTAAAATGTTTCGACAAAAATACATATGCCTTCTAAGATTTGTGCCAGTAGGACTTGCTTTAGCTTGATTGAAATGGTGATGAGCAGGTTTGATCCAAAGTTAAGGCTTTTTCATTTCATGCTGTAGACCACTTAGTGCTATCAGACAATGAGAGACTTCATTGGACCTAGAGAACCTTGGTTGATGTGGCATTCATTAGCAAAATCATATATAAGGGGGATGGAGGGGATTTTGTGTGGCAGGTTTAAATTGTACATAGGAATATGGTCATCTTATAGTTTCTAGTTAGAGAGAATTGACTTTTAGCTTGATCAGTATAGAAATAGAGCTGGTAAGTTGGGGGTTGGCAGATGCACACTACTAGCTTCCTGTTTTAAAACTGGATAATATTGCACCATTTCTTGTACCATACCTCTTGAGTGAGATTACACTTTCTTTTGAAATTTTATTTCAGAATTCGCATACTATTACTTAGTAACCTCTCTGGGTAGTGATCTACTAGTACAATTTTCTGTGGTAGACAGTTCTACAGTAGAATTGATTTACATTCACTAAGATCAGTTGTAGAAAGTTATGAAAGAATCTTACCAGGAGATTTGTGCTATACACCTATAACATTGAGTGATAAAGTCATGTCATACTCATCATCAAGATGTTTAAACAGAGTTCCTCTTTTATTAACAAAAACATTATTTCACACAAATAAATGATAATAATTATGATGTTTATAAATGACATATCAAAATGAAACTAAAAGATATCTTGAAAATACAGTTTGATGGCAAAGTTTTCATGTTATAATTGTGAAAATTTTGTTCTTAAGTTAACGTGTTACAATAATTCAGCTCACTTGTTCAGTTGTATAAGGGAAATTTGAGTTCCAACTATCGTGTTTATAGGGTTTAAGTATTTATGAATGATCCCGAAGTCCATTGGTGATGGTATTCATGAGAAGGTTGCTGGTGTGAAGGTCTATACAGTTTGAGATCCGCATGAATGACTTAAATCTGATAAGCTTTGAAAGTCCCTCATGTAAAATAAGTTAATATTTTCCAACAAACATTTATACAGTGTTATAGCTTTAAGTCTTGTATATGTGAAGACATAAAGGTCACCATGAAACACGTTGTACAAGATATTTCATGACCTTCCAGAAAATTAAGTTCATATTCACACCGTAATATCACACTGTAAAGTTCTACATGTGATTAAATTTTGGTACTTATTGGTCAAGCTTTAAGGTCAAGGTTCACACTTGACCTCTTTACTTATGAAATATAATAAAAACCTTATGTATAATATATGTAGAAATAGAACCAGGAAGTGGAGTAGGGGGAGGGGGAGAGGGGGGACATATCTCCTACTTATCTTGGTTTTTTTTTTTCTTAAGATGCACAAACTTTTATCTGTAGGCTGAAAATTACAAAGATCGTATCCTCAGACCTAGAGAAGAAGCTAAGAAACAACGAAAAGAAGAAGAGTACTACAAATTTATGGGTCCTGCCTGGAAAGGGGAAGGACAAGTCCTAGGGGTAAGTGATATGTTTATATTGTTTCACAACTTTTTCAGAATATTCCCATTTCCCATGAATCCAATTCAACTAATGTATCCTAATCTGGTCTAAAAACATACATGTTATTAAGGCATATAGAATTGTTTTTGTATTATATATTCTGTTTTGATATCGTTGTAAAAATTTGGATCAAATATACATTAACAGATAAATTGAATCTATATAATAAATCTTACAGAACTCAATAAGAATTTATTATCTCCATGAATTCATTATGAATGCAGTTAATCTGCTATTGTTTGCAGCTGTTGTTCTATCTTACTGGGGAAATCACCTGTTTATGTATGTCATTCTCTTATTCTAGTTCATACAAATTCAGTTAAGCTGCCATTAAATGAGACAAATTGAACTTGATTTCAGTTATCCTGTCGTTGATAAGATTTCAAAAAAAGGACTTGTTGATAGTGGTCCTGTATTTTATAATGTCTGTTGAATTTTGACATAAGTATTGTGGTAAGGCCTTTGTCTGTAGCAGCCTATCATCAACCTATAACGATGCTTCATTATTATGATATATCAGTAATTTGATTGTCTTTTCTATCAAAATCTCCTTCCATACTAAGTAAAGGTTTTTAAGGAAATGTGAACAAGACCATCCTTTGTTTAAGAGGTTTGGCCCCACTTTGGGCAGAGATACAGAGATAGACCAATATCGACCTTTCAAACGACTCTTTCTTATTGATAATGAGTCTCTTTATTCTTTATGGTTGAAGGTTTAAGCTTGGAACAAACAGGCATGTTTCATACCTATTTGGAGTACCGGATAAAACTTACTATTATCACTTTGAAATGGATGAGGTTGATCTCCTATGTCTACATTGAGCTTGTTGGTATACATACACTGAAAAATTGAATGTTTTATGACTTGATCGGATAAGTATGGAAAATGTTGCATAAATGATTGTATTAAGTGATCACAACTAAAGCAATGGCTGGCGTTGTTATTGTGGAATTAACAACATTTATTTATATACCTGCCTATTGAAGGCTTTACCTGTCCTAATTAAACTCAGCTTTATTTATTGCCTCACCCTGTTCCCCCTGGTGGCTATATACAGTTGACTGTTCCTATTGATGTGAGTTAACGAATGGAGTATGGTGTAAACCTGACAGATAATGGTTGTCATATGTCTGTCAACAAGTTGTACTTTATGTCCTATGAAACCAGAAATATGAATTTTGAAATATTTTAATATGTTAAGGCAGTAAAACCCAAGTTTGACTAAGGATGATATTAAGAATTTTTTTAAACACCTGTAAGAAACCTGTATCAAAAGACAGATATCTGTCAGATGGATATTGTCCCATCATCTCTTTATTCCTTTCATGATTACATGAACTTCCACAGTTAACACTTAACCCACATGCATGAAGGGCAAATATTAATGTCATATTGATGCATCTGGTGTACACTTAATTCTTTGAACAAATACTTCTGAATAATTTAGCAGCAATGAGTCAAGAAATTGAGTCAGTATCATATTCAGATAAATGACTTTAACTCAATTTCAAGGTCACTGGAGGTTAACCCACGTAAATATAGAATTTTCAAATAACCAAAACATCTAACCATACCACTGACCCGTTGTTTACTTTTTAGCTTGTTCTCTAATATCCAATCTCTGAAATATCTCTCATTTCAGATCCTTATTTAACATTTTTTGTTTCTTTATCATTCTTTATTGAAGTCACATAGGCATGTTGACTAACAGGGATTTCGTTTTTGTACTTACTCTGTAAGGGGATGTGCCATGAATTTGGATCCTGTTTTAAACAACTCAGTTCTTAGGTATTTACCACGGTTCCTGGTGATAACAACTCACAGCTTACCTGCTGTAATAGTTGCAATACTTAGATGAACAATGCAGGTGTATCTAGAATGACTAAGGAATAAAACATTACCAAATGATAATGCAGATTTAATCCCCACCTTGCCAAATAACTATGTAACTAGAAAAGAGACGGATGTCGTCACTCTGAATTTTGACCGTAAGCCTACACAATTTGGTACTTCTTTCAGACATGTAGTTTATATTAATTTGTTCATTAAAATTGTGAGTCAGGAGAACCTGATACAGGTACCTGATAAATTTGCATTGTTTAAACCTGGACACAGTTCAGTTTCTGATACTGCATAGATTTTTATGTATACCGGCTAGTACTCAGACTCATCATCTGTTTGTTTTTCTGAATATTCCTGAGGGGGCATCACTCAGGCCTATTTTTTAAGGTCATATGAAAAAGATAGTGATACAAGCCTGTAAGGTTTGTTATGTTTGACTATATAGAACCTAAGCTTGGAATGAAATATGAAATCCCTGGTTGGCAATGATTATTTTATTGCACTTGTTGCATGATCCTCCATCTGACTGTTTCTTATTAAGCTGAATGGATCTATGAGCTATGAGGAAGAAAAAGCAGCATAAATGATGCTAGCAAAAGGCCAAAAGCTGAAAACATGGCTGACAAAACAAACAAAAAAGCCAACGGTAAAACCGCATTGGTGAATCACGCAGCACTCCACTCGGACATGTGGAGGAAGGAAGCAGCTGAAAATTAGCACAAAAACAATAAAGCACACCAAATAAACGTAAATAAAGGGCAGATGTGTATATACAACGCCAACTAAGCAAAAAACTGAAACATGTCAGCCATCAGACAAAAAGGAAAGAGGAAGGGAGATCATTCTGTGTCTTTGTTGAAATGTAGGGAGGGTGGGATTTTCTAATCTTTTGTTTTTGGACTACAAAGATAGGTGCAAGTACCGTATTTGTATACTAAAGTTATGGTAATTATTACATCATGAAGATTGGGTTTACTTGAAAAACCCTCAAATTAAAATGGTTGATAGGCAGCCATCTTGGATTTTGATTATGAAAATTTGTTATCTCTATTTCTTGAGAATTACAGAATGGATCTTTCTCAAATACTGTATATAAGTTGCCCTTGGGCACTTGATGTGTACCTTCGATTTTTAGATAGCAGTCATCTTAGATATGAAAATTTGTTAAAATGCTATTTCTTGAGGAGTACAGAATTGATGTTTCTCAAATATCATATGTAGGTTTCCCTTGATTCAGAGTTGTGCCCTTTTGATTTTGGGACTGATGTGATAAACAAAAAGGCTATTAGGTGGTTATCTTGGTTTTCAAAAACAAAAGTTATCACTTTTTCTAGAGAAGTACTTGGTGGATCTTTCTCAGATTTGCCTTTGTTGTGCACTTGATTTCAGGACTGATCAGCAAAACAAAATGTCTGACAGGCAACCATCTTGGGTATTCCATTCAGAATATTTTATTGATATAAACACAGTAAACAGTTTGGCCCTTTGATCACATTTGACTGGATTTAGGGGACTGATATTGGCTTGTAGGCTTGTAGTACTCTCATTGTAAAAATTAATTCATTGTTAAAAGTACTGAAAAAGAATGAATAGGTAATGTGTGACGATGAATATGATTGTTTGGAATCATAATATTATGTGTTGTATCATCTATATTTAGCTTTCTAGTTAAACATTCAACAAAGCTTGAGTTATTTTCATATTTTTTGTTGTTTAAAAACTATTGTTCTGTGCTCTGTTTGTATACATATCTCTGATAAAAAAAGTAGTTCACTGTTATGAACTATTCAATAAAGTTGAATCAAAGGAAACATTTCTAAAAAGTATGACCTATGAGTGTAGTTTGATTTTAAAATGCATTCAGCCTCTCTTAGCTTGCAATATCTTTAGAAGGAAAAAGCAAATGATAAAGAAAATTTACTTACAATGAAAAGGTTTGTTCCATAAATGATTTCTGAATGGCAAGATCTTCTTGAGAATAATTATCATGTCTTTCAAAAAGTTGAAAAAATGGTATTTTGATGAAGCATTCATGCAAAAATGATCCATGTCTTCACATCAATTATATTTGAACACAGACCAAACTAACCTCATCTGGCATAAAACTTGGTCAATCACAAATGATTGCTGTATTAAAATCGGTTATGATGGTAAATGGGCCAATTAACCTCACCTGACTCCGAACTTAAGGTAAGGCAATCACAAACAATGCTTCAAGGAAAAATTCACACCAAACCTTTGTTATTGGTGAAAACAGTTCAGCTATGATGTGTTATTGGAGTGTAAGAGTTCAACTATGATGTGTTATTGGAGTGTAAAAGTTCACCTATGATGTGTTATTGGAGTGTATAAGTTCAGCTATGATGTGTTATTGGAGTGTAAAAGTTCAGCTATGATGTGTTATTGGAGTGTATAAGTTCAGCTATGATGTGTTATTGGAGTGTAAATGTTCACCTATGATGTGTCATTGGAGTGTAAAAGTTCAGCTATGATGTGTTATTGGAGTGTAAATGTTCACCTATGATGTGCAATTGGAGTGTAAAAGTTCACCTATGATGTGTTATTGGAGTGTTAAAGTTCAGCTATGATGTGTTATTGGAGTGTAAAAGATCAACTATGATGTGTTATTGGAGTGTAAAGATCAACTATGATGTGTTATTGGAGTGTAAATGTTCACCTATGATGTGTTATTGGAGTGTAAAAGTTCAGCTATGATGTGTTATTGGAGTGTAAAAGTTCACCTATGATGTGTTATTGGAGTGTAAAAGTTCACCTATGATGTGTTATTGTGTTATTGGAGTGTTAAAGTTCAGCTATGATGTGTTATTGGAGAGTATAAGTTCAGCTTTGATGTGTTATTGGAGTGTAAAAGTTCACCTATGATGTGTTATTGGAGTGTATAAGTTCAGCTATGATGTGTTATTGGAGTGTAAAAGTTCACCTATGATGTGTTATTGGAGTGTAAAAGTTCACCTATGATGTGTTATTGGAGTGTATAAGTTCAGCTATGATGTGTTATTGGAGTGTAAAAGTTCACCTATGATGTGTTATTGGAGTGTTAAAGTTCAGCTATGATGTGTTATTGGAGTGTAAAAGTTCACCTATGATGTGTTAT